AGCGTGACTTGGAGCAGCCTGGGAGGTCTGAAGTGTTTACCAATGCCAAACTAAAAGAACGCTTCACATGTTGCTCCAAAGTCAAAGGGCATCTCTAAAAACTATGAAGACGATGGGTCTATGCAGAGGGAAAAAACAACTTAGGGCAGGCTGCTTGGGGCCAGAAATCAATCATTCCTCCTCTAGACAGACAAGGAACTCTTTAGCTTACCGGGGAATAAGCTTGCCCCCGCCCCCACTCCAAGGCCCCCAGGACTTTACGTCTTGGAGAAAGAGATACATGACTAAAAATCAAGGCTGATGTCAGACATTTCGGCAAGAAAGCAAGTTCCAACATACTGTCCTAAGATCAGCCCAGATGAGGCCCCATGTCCCACATGATCTATATCAGCGGTTGGCAAACTTTCAGAAAGGGCAGGCCACAGCTTTATTTAGCCCCTCTAATTTAAGGTTGTGCATGCCAGGAATACATTCGAGCATTTGAGGTCTCTTGACTCAACCCTTCACATATGTACAGTAAATATGATTTCTCAAGTGTTCGAGGACCTTCTTTTAAACTTCGGCTGCAAAGGCCTTTTGGCCACTTTTGTACTCTTCCCTGCCTTGACTTTTGCTTGCAGAACTTCATCTTGGATGCTTTAATCTACCTTGACAGAACGTAGCACCCCACAGTCACCTCTCCCCCGGCCCTCGGCCTGTGCCCCTCTGCCTTGCAGTTTCCCTCAAGGATTAGAGGATTCGTTTCCAAATCGCAAGCGACCAGTACTGTTTCCCCTGGCCCTCCAGACCGTTCTCTCTCAGTTGTGGAACACATGCAGTGTTCTTTCCTACACTTTCCCTGTAGGCCGCCTCGATTCCCGCTAGGAATGTTGTCCAGGCTGAGCACTCTAGTTCTACCAGAGACCACCGCAGCATCCTGGGTCCTCCCACACTCCTCCTCTTTCTCTTAGTTCTCTTCCCAGGCCAGTTCACCCATTCTCCATGCCACTGCTTAAATGTCACTGCTGCGGCAGGGATGTCTTGCCTGATTAGCTGGACCACAATAGATGTCCCTCCTAAATGCTCATAAGACCCTCTGTAGCAGTAACCACAACTCTCAGTTAAAAATTATTTAAATACGGTGTAATGTCTGTCTTCCATACTGGACTGTATGATCCTTGAGGACAGGGGAAGTATGCGTTTTGTTCACCGTTCTACCCCTACTAGGTACTAAAGTTTATAATCATAACATTTGCTAATAACAAGCCCTTACATGCTGCAGACACCGTTCTATGTGCTCATGTGTGTGCTGTGCGTATATTGATTCAATTATTCCTCGCAACAATCTTATGAGGTGCTCCCTGTTATTACCACTATTTGAGAGGTGAGGAAATTGAAGCATTCAGAAGTTAAATAGCTTGCCTAAGGTCCGGTGGCTGGGATGTTATAGAGCTGGCATTTAAACTCAAATAATAAGGCTGCAGAGTCCACATTCTTTACTGTTACACTCTAGTGTCTGTCCCTGAGACTAATACATGAATGGAAATGAGTGAAATGAAATGCTCCACCTTAACATACTCCCAAGTTATGATCAAAAAGCACTGCTCTTCGCAGACCTCAGAAATGGCCTTTTGCGTTTGAAACTGGAAGCCATATGGAAGTAAGCACACGTTTGTTCCAATCTCTGTTTAGAGGGGTCCATCCAAGTAGAATTGTCCTCTGCCAGGCTTGCAAGAGAACCCTTTGGGCTCAGTGCACTTTATACCACACATTGAAAAATACATTTCTGAAAATCCAACAGAGATGTAGGAAGGCCTTATCTTTAAGACGAGGCAGAGAAAGGCTGAATAACTGTATTTATTGGGATTAAATTTAGTTGTGAGCAAGAGAAAAATCCTCAAATAACAGAAACTTATTTCTCTTTCTTGTTCAATAAATCCCAAGGTCATCAGTCCAGGACTGGGGCATGGTGTTTCATGGAGACAGGGGCTGTGGATGGAAATGTAAATCAGGAAGCACGAAATAAAAGACTGGCATGCAAGGCAGATGTCTGGGCTAGTTATACCGAATGGAAAGTCATCATCATAGAGATGGTAACCAAAACCCTAGAAGCCGGAGTCCAAGTTCCTTCTTGTCACAAAGACAAACCATCCTCAACTTCTCACAGTTATCTTACGGTCCAAGATGACAGAGCTCCAGCCACCATTTCCTGTTCTGAGCAGTAAGAAAGAGAAGAAAAGAAGAATGGCACGCCCTTTAATCTTTTTACCTTTAACGACGCCTCCCAGAAGTTTCATGGTCACTTTTGCCTGTATCTCATTGACCAAATGAGCCAAATCTATCTGCAAGGGACGCTAAGAAATGTAGCCTTTATTTCAGATGGCCATGTGCCCAGCTTATAACTGCAGTTTTACTGTTAAGGAATGACAGGATGCCTGATATCATGCAATAAGTCATGGTCTCAACCACAAATACAATACTTTCTATACAAACAAAGACCCAAGGAGTCTAAAGGAGCAAAGGACACATATGGTGAAGGGATCAGGAAAAACTCGATGGACAAGTAGATGATTGAAATGGGTTTAAAACGTGGGACGAATTTTGTTGGGGTAGATGTGTTGTAGGAAAGGAATTTTGGATAGAGAGAAGAGTAAGGGCAAAGGCATGGAGACTGAAACGAGCAGAATCAGTTGTTTTGTTTGTCGCTTAAGGTCCAAGCTGGGGAGCAGTGGAAGGTGAGGCTGTCATGGAAAGATGGGATACTTTGGGGAAGGCTTTAGATTAGTTGGAGCAAAGAGTCTGTGTTTAATTTGCTGGCCAAAGGGGAATAACTAAAGGCTTTTGTGCAGAGCAGTAATGTATTCTGAATGCCACTACAGCAATAGTGTTGCAACTTTTGAGCAGAGGAGGGATGGGATCTGAAGACTAGAGCAGCAAAAATATGGAATTTGGAATAGAGGAAGCAGAAATACAGTGAGGCTATTGTAATAGTCAAAGCAAATGGTAACATGAGCCTGAATCAAGCAGGAATCGTGGGGGTGCAGAGAAGGAAACACGTACAAGGGCAATGGAGAGAGGGAATCTCCTGAAATTTACTATTGATTGTGGAGTGGAAGATGTGAGTGCAAGATAATGCTGAGATTTCAAATAAACTTGAGTGGAAGAAAATAGAACCATTCATCGATTAGAGCACACACAGAAAGAAGAGGTTGGGGGGGCACAACAGGAAGATGGTGAGGTCCGTTTGAAGCATGTTGAGTTTGAGGCACCTTTGGGATACCTGTATGAACATGTGTATCAGGAAGTAAGTGACAAGCATCTACAGCCCAGGAGAGAGGGCTGGACTTCAGCTACAGATTCGGAAGTCTTCGTCATGGAAGCAATTAACAGAAGCCCTTGGAAGGATAAGATTTCAGAATTTGAAAGTATGAAGAGGGAAGAAACTAGGCCGATGTCATGAGGTTGCCAAAATAAGAGCGAGTTTGGAGAAGGAGAAGGAATATGGATAATGTCAGGGGCTGTAGATAATGTGCAGGCTGTAGACCTTGCCTTAAGTCTTTGATGTGTGAGTGAAGGTGGGCAGCAGATAGGCTCACTTTTAAGAAAAGCATGGGCTGTCAGAACCGGAAGCACCCTTAGCACCTTCATCTAATCCCCAACTGAGTGGTATTAAGAACAAAATCTGGGGGCACCTGGGTGGTTCAGGCGGATAAGCGTCCAACTCTTGATTTTGGCTCAGGCCGTGATCTCACAGTTCGTGAGATTGAGCCCTGCATTGGGCTGCACGCTGAGTGTGGAGACTGCTTGGGATTCTCTCCATCCCTCTCTCGTTCCGCCACCCCCCACTCACAATTGCATGCTCTCTCACTCTCTGTCTTAAAAAAAAAATTAATAAATAAACTTTAAAAACAAAAAGAACAAAATCTACACCCACAGAGGAAAACCTAACTGCTTCTGCCCTGGGCTTTTACTAACCAAGGGAATAGCCTTTCCTTGACTCCCTAGGAACCCATGTGAACAGGACTTGAAAAACTATCCTCAATCCCATTTAACAATGTAGGAAATATTTCCAAACATTCAAAGTCTCATATCAGGGAATGAATTGTCAGTCTTCTCCGTGGTGATACAATATCCCCTGTGGGGACACCTATAGAGAAACATGTTCCAATTACTAATTTGGGACCAGAAAACATTATAGTCAGACAGAATTTTTGGAGCCCTAGCATCCTTGAAAACTAGAAAGTGGGCCCAGCTCACTCACTACAACTTACCACAAGGCTTACTCAGATCCATCCTCAGATATCAGTGAGGCAGTCAAGGATGGAAACGTCTGTGGGTTTCCAGAAAACACTTCCATCTAGTTCATGGTGAAGGACCTAGACAACAGGCAAGAGCTTTGTTCTTTACATATGTTTCTTAAGTTGATTACATGAGCAACAACCCTATTTCCAAATAGGGCCACATTCTGAGATACCGGGGGTAGGACTTCAATATATCTTTATGGGAAACACAGTTTAACTCATAACACTAACAGAATCATGAGGTCAAGTTGTGAACAGGTTTTGGCCTTTGGCCTGAAGCAAAGCCTCCTTCGGAAATGACACCTTTTACTTAGAATAGCCCTAGACTCTAGATAGACCAAAAACTCAACTGTCACTATCATGTCCAGTCATGCTTCCTCAGACATGAGGCTGAACATTCATTCAGAGATTCCGCCTAGGCCAGGAGCTCTGAAGAGGCTCTTCTTCTCAGCTTCACTGGGCAGGACTATACAGCTCCTTCAGGCCATAGAGACTGACAGGTCACACCACATAGGTAGCACCATCTGAAACAGGCCTCTAACTCTCTAAATTATTTACAGCCTTTGTTCTGAATGTCCTACCCTAGACATTCTTCTCCACTTGTTTCTGGTTCTTTCAGCTTCTGATCTCATGGTGGCTCTCACTGATTATGGTGATACTTGTCACCATTACTCTGGCTTTGACCAATATTTTTCCCCCGGTGTCCCAATTTGAACTTACCAAAGACCATATTGTCATCACGCATGGTGGGCCAATTCTCTACAATGTCCATCCATACACTGACACACTCATCCACAGACAGTGCTCCCAACGCACCATAACACCTTCATGAATCAGAGCCAAACATCAAGCCATGACCTCTAAGGTTCTAGGCCACCCCTCACGCTGCCATGAGAAAGTTGACCTTCTGTGACCCAGACAGGACCATCCTTTTTCCCACTGGGAACACATTTGTACACTTATTTTTAAAACTGAAAGTATGGGGCACCTGGGTGTCTCAGTCGGTTAAGTGTCTGACTTGGGCACAGGTCATGATCTCATGGTTCGTGAGTTTGAGCCCTGTGTTGGGCTCTGTACTGACAGCTCAGAGCCTCGAGCCTGCTTCAGATTCTGTGTCTCCCTCTCTCTTTGTCCATCCTTGGCTGATACGCACTCTCTCTCTCTCTCTCTCTCTCTCTCTCTCAAAAATAAATAAACTTAAAAAAATAAAACTGAAAGTATATTTTTGAAATAAAGATTTATTTGCCCCCGGAACTCTGAAGGTTTTACTTCAGAGTAAAGCAGTCTTCTGCCCTCATACCTGCCCTGGAACAACCCAAGAAAGATTGCCAATAGCCTCCTAATTACTGCATTCAATTGATTTTTTTTTAGCCTTCACCCCTCTTGAATTCACAGTGCCTTTTGACACTATTGACCACTCCCCAGTTCTGAAAAATCTGCTCTCTTGACTTAAGAGATGTAATCGCTGCTGTTTTCTCCAACTTCAGTGATCACTCCTCACAGTCGCCTTGGCTCTCTCCTCTTCCTCAGACCAGGCTCTCACCTTGACTTTGTCCTTGTGCTACACCCTCTGTGGCTAATCCCATTTATTATCACTGTTCCAGTTTTACATTAATGATTACCAAATCTATATCTCCTGCCCCAGCTTGTTTTCTGAGCTTCAGACCTGTGTTTCCAATCACTGACTGGACACCTCTACTAGGATAATTTACAGGCACCCTCAAATCGACATGCCCGACCAAACCTCACTCACAGCTTGTATTGCCCACCTCAGTGAAGGTACCACCAGCCTCAATTTGGCCCCCTCTGACACTCCTTACAGCAAATCTACAAGTTCTGCTTCTCTTAATTGACCCTTTCTCTCTTTGGGCTCAATACCTTCACCCTAGTTTCAGCCTTTGTTATGCTTTGTCTGGACTATTTTAATAGCCTCTTGCGTGGTTTGTCTCTCACTCTGTCGTTTCCTTAGCGAGGCATTCAAGAGGTGGCCTTTTGCACTCTGAACCTCATCTTTTGATTTCTATATCTCCTCCCCAAAGCTTCAGTCATATCAAACTACTTATAGAATCCCAACGTGTAGTATTTTTTATGCCTTTACCTAAACTTCTCTCTCTCTCTGCCTGGAAGGCTTCCCCTTCTCCATCCCTGACTACTTAGAAAAAGCTCAGGGCCAGATCCGCTGTCCGAAGATGAGATCAGAAAGGTGACCTATGTGAGAGCTGAGCCCTGCGGGAAGTTCCAGCGGACATTCTGTTGGGCAATCGCTCCCTTCGCATCTGGGCCCTGGAGCACCACAGCACAGTGACCCTGGATCCCTGCCAGAGGCTGCAGGGCAAAGACAACGTCTGTGGTGGACCCTTCCGGATGTGTGTCAGCTCCGGGTGAGGCTTTGAGGCTGCCAACTTCTCAGGCTGGATCTCCTGTTGGCAGACTGACAGTTTCTCCACGCCCTGGGTGCCAGCATTGTGAAGGTTTCTGCCACGGGCTTCCAGTTTTCCCCAGTTCCACACAACAGCTAGACCTACCTTTGTCTCAGGGCCCGACGTAAAAGCAGATGGGCCAATGGGACTGTTATCCCCCTTGGCTTTCGGGCTGCCTTGTGGCTGGCCCATGGTATTTAATCTGCAAGGGGCCTCTTTCTCTAACTTATAAGATGGCTCCCCTCTCTCTTGTCCCTCTTCCTCTCCCTTCCTCCCTCCCTCCCTCTCTCTCTCTCTCTCTTTCTCTGTCTGTCTCAGCATTGATTCCAGCAACCAATATTTACTGTCTGAGAACTATACACAAAGCACTCTACTAAATACCAAGAACACAGGAATGTACAACACACACACACACACACACACACACACACACACACACACACATAAAATCACTGCCTTTGAGCTTACAGTCAGTGTGGGAGACAGATATTAAATACAAAGAAAGACATACAAAGATTTCCTTACTACCAGTAGTGAAGGAAAGAGTACACTGAAGGGAGAGCACAGGTTCCATGAAGGAACCTTTGCCAGCCCGATAGGTTGGAGAAACAAAGTTCCTCAAATGATACAAAGCATTTGCCTTTTAAGGCAATTAAGTTTTAAGTTTGTGTTCTCTATTTGTATGAGATCTGAATACATTAAAGCTATGAACCTCTTGTCTATCATATTTGTCACAATCATTTTCCAAGTTCAGTAAATCTGAAAACCTGATACACGTGAATATGACAGGCCAGTTGTGTGGATGTCCCCCCATCCGAGTTTGTCTAATGTTTCCTCATACTTAGCTTCCATTTATGCATTTGGGTCACAGTTATCACACAAAGGGACACATGATTTCAATGTCTTCTCTTATTGGTCATGTTCACCTTGATCACTTGGTGAAGGTGTTTCTGCCAAGGCTTTTCCACCATGAAGTCACTCCTTACCCCTTTGTCTTGCTATCTTGTGGACCCCTTCCTCGCCCTGCATGGATGCCAACACCCCACACCAGGAATGGATGACGTCCTCACCGTTTGGGCTCCGACACCCCATGCCAAGCCTTCCCTCCATGTGGATGCCCGCTCTTACCCTGCTTTGGCCCTGACGCTGGGTTTTCCCCCTTCATAGATTTCCTTGGCACCCATTTGCATCCAGCATCCCGTGGCGGGTGCCCAGCTCACGGATGGACGCCCTCCGTCTGGGCCCAGACGCCTCACGCGGCGTCCTTCCCATGCCTGGACCCCGCCCACCCTGCTCAGACAGACTGACACTCTACCTCTGCTTGGCGTCTGACTGCACAGATGCTGGGCTCCGCAGGGACAGTCTTCTTGCCGTTCTCTGGCTCTGCCTCCTCACTCTAAGCCGCCTCGACACACGTCGCTCCATCCGTTTTAATGGCATGGGGACTGAATCGCTCAGGAAGGGAGGCAAAAGGAAGGAAAGAGAAGTAGAGTTCTACTCACTTAACAACTCTCCCCACTCTGTTGTCCTCAGAGCCTAAAGGCACTGTCACCTCTCACCCTCCACCTTTTTAAAGGGTTCACTTAGATGGCACCTCTTCACGAGGCATTTTCTTATCAATCCATCCAACCACATGTGATCTTCCTCTTTAGTTAGAACCTTCTGAACTCCCACAAACGCTTTCATTCATTCAAAAAAGCACTTATGGGGCCCCAACCCTGGTGTCAGGCACTGTGCTGGACGTGGAAGATACTTTGGCTGGTGAGAGCCCCACGCCATGGAGTTTACGGTGTAGTTAAGAACCCAGGCAAGCGAAAGGGAAATAAATGCTAAGCACTCTGATGACAGAAATGCAGTCTGTGGCGCATGAAGGGGGAGCAGAGAAGTGAAGACTGAAGAGGTAGGCGAGGCCCGATCACATACGGCCTTTTCAGCTACTCATCCCACATACACTGACCTGGGATTTCTTAAGTGCGGCCATGGTTCTGGGCACTGGGAATCCAGTTATCTGAAACATAAAACGAAACGAGTGAATTGTATAGGATATCACTTGGTTTTAAGCACTAGGGAGAAAAATAAAGCAGGGAAGGAGATAGTGTGAGTGTGGAGCCGGGGAAATGAGCAGGTGGCACGTGGTTACAACTTAAGTAGGGCGAGCAGGATAGGCCTCACTGATAAGAAGGTATTTTGCTTCCTTTATTGAAGTAAGTGCAGGACTAAGCCATGCTTATATGGGAGGCAGGCATTTCCACCAGAGGGAAGAGCAAGCATAAAAGCCATGAGGCAGAAGTGAGAAAGAACAAGGCTACCATGTTGGAACAGAGCAAGGAGAGGCAGGGGGAAATAGGGCAGCAACTCATAGGAAGCCAGGACCCTTAAGGCTTTGTAGGCCAACAATAAGTCTCTGGATTTTAGTTCATTCTGAATAGTCATTGGAGAGTTTGGAGGAGACTGGCGAGCTCTGGCTTCTATTTTGCAAGAACTGGAAGAGCAGCTGTGTCGAGAATAGACCATGGACGTGGGGGCGGGGGGGG